ATTCGGTACGACTCAAATAACCAAAGTGTTCCGTGTTATTTTCCGGTGAAGAGACAAAATGCACGCGCGTTTTCCCAGAGGAATGCACAGAAGCACCGCAAAAGTAGACTGGTTGCTGTCTGCTTCAGTTTGCGTCACGGAAGTCGCATAGACACTAGCGCCAGTTGAACCTCTAGCGTACCTTATAATAACTCCATGGTTTGAGCGAGCAGACGACAAGCAGAAACGTTTGCGAGAGCAGACGACAGCTCGAACGATGAGGCGGCCGTTTGAACTTGATGACGCACTGAACGTAGTCGAGGTGGTCCGTGCAACTTGGTGGCTTTCCCGCGTTCGTGTTGGAACAAAACAAATAAATATGACGACCACAAGTATCCGTTTATTCATTCCAAAGTGCTTTCCGCCCAAGCAATTTCGGTTCGACGGCGTCTGTATTTCCATTTTCACGGTCCCTGTTCACGTTCTCGGACGAACCGAGCAGGGAGAAAACGCATGAAAACTGACCTTCAAGCCTTTCCCGACTATTTTGGTAAAGCCACAGTCGCGGCGTTTTGACGGGAAGGGAGGTTTTTGTCCGGCTTCTTCCAAACTAACACAGGAATGCACGTGCCCCATGGCGGCTTCCGCCCACAGCCCCAGACCGGAAGTGCGCCCGACGCGCCACCACCGCGCCGTGACGTAACAAGGCTGAGTTCGTGTATAGGTTTCTTTTTATCGCAGTTATGTATAACCTATTTACTTTATTTTTGTCACCCAACCCAACCACGTCATGTTTCAACATGACAGCCGTAACACGAAAACAATCTATAGCAGGGGTTTCAAACACGCGGCTCGCGGCCCGCAGGCAGCCGGTCTCGAGCCCGGACCAGTTCCCATGTCTCGAACGTTTGCAGTGGCATTCATTTCCCCTCGAAATTGAGCTATTCTTTAAGAACGTATTCGCATAGTTTATACTAATCAGGGTTTTTTTACAGCAGAGCTGTTAAGGGATAGTTTCCCCAGGATCGTGTCCGGTACCAAACAAATGTCGACACAACACCCTAGTTGCCGCCGTTGCTCATAGATGGCGGTAGTTGTCCAGAGTGTTGAGTTTACCGGTTGTCTACTTGCCGCCGTTGCTCATAGATCGCGGCAACCTTTCCAGCCTCGGAAACCAGACAGCTGGTTGCTGCCGTCGCTCATAGATGGCGGCAACCTTTCTTTAAAGGAATAAGAACGGGAGCGTAACTAGCGGCGATGTGCGCAGCAACGGGAATGGTTCCGCAACCGCCGCGAGGCCGCTATCGCATAAAGTTCCACTGCGTCGAGCGCTTCAGATTCTCTTGCGAAAGAAGAGCAGATTGCTCACCTGGAAAGCCAGCGCTGAGAACAGAAGCTACAGCTCCGCTGCTCTTCCTTCTTCATCAGAGTGGAAAGGCTGAAAGATTTTTGCTTTGTGTTTTGTTTTAATTTTTGCTTCCCAGCTTTTTGTCGTTTTAAAACCACTTGCACGATAATCGACGTTTTGCTAGATTACTCAAGTTCAAGGAGTGTGCGCGAGTGTAGTTTCACGAACTGCGCGTACAGCTTTCTGCAGCAGGAACTTTTCTAAAATAAAAATCACAAACAAACAGCCCTTCGCACGCGCATTCATCAATGTCTTAATATGGTTGTTTACTTCGAATAAAAAAAATTGGGTTGTGTGTGTTTATACAGCCTAGAACTTGGTCTGCCTCACAGGGGCGACGAGTCTCCCAGCTGTAGATGAGAAATTTAGCCAGTGCGGTACAGCCGCTAGCCTGGGCCGGTTTGCTCATCTTGCGGCTGCGGCTGCGGCCGCGGCCAAGAGGGATTTTTACGTCACGTGACCAGCTCCATGGGGACAAGGAAGTACCTAGCGCCCCTGCCTAATGGCGGAGAGATCCGCATCGCTTCAAGCACAAAAGCCTAATGTCGCTCGCAGGAACTGATTGCAGGGACTTTCAACTGGAGTCCAATTGACCGCCCCGTTATACTTTAGGAGCGGCAGGTAAAGTGACGGCCAGGGAGGGTAAATAAGAGCCAAAATAAAGAAAAAAACCACACGAGATAAAAGCGGTAGCAGCATATTTATCTACCTCCGCCGGCGCCGGCGCCTCGTCCCTGCTGCCATGGTCGAGAGGTTAAAGCGCCGGTAAGATGAGCAAACCGGCCCTGGGTTGCTAAACTCGTCAACAAAAATATTCTTTGTGTTATGACATAGTGGGGGGAGGAGCCAAAAGATTGCTGCGAAGTTTTCTTTTCTCACAAACCCGCAGATCCGTCTGTCTTCGTGACGTTTTTCGTTGAGGGGACGAAAAATCCCTACGCCTCCCTAGGCACCGAACAAGAGCAGCACTAGAGAGCGCGCGGAGACGACCGTGGCTCATACGTGTGACGTCACAACAAAGATTATCAGCTGCGACCATCATGTTTGATGGTCTCTAGAAAGCACAATGGATGCTTGGGAATTGCATTTTAAAATCAACACCGTCGAAGTTGATAGTCTGGTATCGTTCTTATTTCCGCCGATAAAGCAGAATTTACTGAAAAGCGTCCCTGCCGTTCTTTTGGTTTATCTCGGCATTTCGAATCTGGCCAAAGTGTAGCCCGACGTTTCTAGGTCACAACCAGCCGACTACCGTTGTCCACTTTCGGGCGAATTTCGCCTCCGGGCAGTTGTCCCTTCATCGGCGGGATAAAATCATTTTATGGTAGACATGGAAGAAGACTGGTTCGAATCGTTTCCTGGCATTCCTGCGGCCTTGTCCTAATTGTACTGGAATGTAATTGGTTTCATCTCTTCTCTTCTTTGATTTCACCAGCGGTTTGAGAGCTCTACTCGCATCCGTGAGCAACTTTTTGCTCAATTTCGAGCACTTTTTCACCTTTTATGAGCCTTTCGTTGAACCCTCCGCGCTAAGCCTACTGGCCCAGCGCGGCAAGGAATAGGGCACGGTGACGGTTGCGCCGCCGGCCCATCGGACCCACGACGCAGTTTTAACTCCCGGACATGACGACGCCTCTGGTTGCGCCACCGCGGCTGCAGTTGCTGCAGGCTACTCAGGATCATGCCGCTGTCACTTCGTACGAAACCTCTCCCCCTCCCTCGCAAGAGATGGACGAGGACGCGGAGGACTTCGGCCCGTCCAATAATGCAAAGCGTTTTCGTTCGTCCGACGATAGTCCTAAAGACGCAGACACGAGTCTCCAGGCTTCATGGGCTTCGCGAGAGCCGGACGCCACCGACTTGGAGGGACTTTGGGAAAAGGCTACAACGAGAACCCAGCGCCGAGCGCAACTCAAGGCATCGGGCCAACCCCTACCCACCACAAGCCGCAAGGAACGTGTAACTCTCGGCACTCATGTAATCAAGATACAGCCCACAGAAAGATGCGACGTATTGGGCTTAGACCCAGAAGAGCTGAAGACCGTTATCAGCTCCTTCGCCGGTGACCCCAAGTTGCTCAAACATCAGATACTGAGGGTGAGCAAACTCTCTAATACCATCGTCGTTACTACGTGCGACTCCACGCAGGCCACGCATCTCCTCCGTATGGGTGTGTTACCTTTGCGATCGAGACCACCACTCCCGGTGCGTACGCACCAAGTTCCCACGGACGGTATCTCCCGGGGAGTAATCCATGGCTGCAAACCCAACGAACCCACGGCTAAGCTTCTGGAGGCGCTGTACGCCGACGGAGTGGATGTCCTGACGGCCCGGCCTATGGGCTCCAAAGGTACAGTCCTCATCCACTTTGCATCTCCGCATCCGCCACGCGAAGTTATGTATTGGAGCTTCCCGAGAAGGGTGGAATGCTACGAACAGCGATCGCTCGTGTGCCCGCGCTGTCACCGCCCGGGACATAAAGCCACCAGCTGCCCGATTAACCAGCCGGTCTGCAGCAACTGCGGAAAACAACACGAGCAACCCCCGGAAGCCTGCCCGAATGGCGAGGCCAAGTACTGCGGTCATTGTAAACAGGATGGACACGTGGCTACTGATCCCTCTTGTCCCGCTCGAGCTCAATTCGCTCAGCGCGCGAAACAAAGGGAAGGAGCCAAACAAGAAAGACTGGCACGGAGCCGCTCGCGCAAGCGCAGGCAGCGATTTAAGCAACCCTCTGTCACCACTAACTCACGTCCCGGTTCCAAGAGTACTACCTCCCAGCTGCGCGGGTCGAGCAAGGTTCAGATCCAGGATCCGCTCCACTCCTACGCCGATATAACTGCGAGAGGTCTCAAGGGCGGTCGCAGCCCAAATGCACGCCAGATGCTTGAGACACTCCAGGTCGAGCAAGACCGCGATCAAGCCGATTTCGACAGCACTATCAAACGTCTGGAACAACAACTGAAAGAAATTCAGCGTACAATGGAACAAGTCAAGTGCAAACACAATCAACGGCAGAAATCACGAGCAGATCGGCTCCGGGCGCTGCACTTTGAAGTTGAGGAAGAAGAGAGATTGGAAACCGAGCTCCTTGAGAAAAGCAAGCGACGCCAGTCCCTTTCACCTGGGCGGTGTCGCACACCATCTGGAAATACTTCATCCACACGACAGCAGGCAAGAAAGCAATCCCACGTACCTGCACCCCAGCACCAGGCAGCAAGCCAGAACTCTAACGAGCCGCCGGTATGGATACAACAACTCATACAGCAGCAACAGCAGCAAGCAGAGCAGATGAAACAAATACAGCAGATGCAGCAGCAAATACAAATGCAACAACAACAACAAACGCAGCAGTTCCTCCAACAGGTGACTCAAATGGTCGCACAACAGGTCGCTCAGATGTTCTCCCCCATACTTAGCCAACATGGACCCAGCCTGCACCAGCCGCAACCAACCTCCACTGAACCGCAGCTCGGCGCACCCACCGCCTGAGCGTCCTCCCGACCTCCTGCAGTGGAACTGCCGCTCGCTACGTCAGAGCGCTGCCGAGCTTGTCGAGCTCTTCCGCTTAACCGGAAGGCCGGCGGCGCTTCTGCTGCAGGAGGCACGGGGGATGAGTCCGGGCATCTCGGGCTTCAACGGATACTTCCAACCAACGATTGAACACGGACTAAGAGGCGGATCAAGTGACACATCTCAGACCATTGAAGCACAAGCTGCGGTGTTTGTGCGCAAGGGCCTCCCACAGGCACAAATAGATACGACGGCCTACTGCAACCCGTTCCAGGAGGTGGTGGCGGTTCGCTGCACGCTTGGACGTCACCGGGTCATCCTAACCTCCTGCTACGCGAGACCTGAGTCAAGCTGTTCCAGGCGCGGCCACGCTGGACAAGCCGGCTTCCAATGGCTGATGGACCTCCGGCAGCGCTACCCCCGTGACCGCCTGCTCGTGGCGGGCGATTTTAATGCGCACCACCCGGACTGGGGGTACTCGATTGCTAACGCCAGGGGCGCGCGGCTAAAGGAGGCAGCGGAGTTGGCGCACCTCACTCTGGCCAACGACCTCGACTACCCAACGCGCCACGGACTGCACGAGGGACAGCGAGACACCACCCCGGACCTGACCTGGGCAGACTCCCGACTGGTGACCGACTGGCGGTGCGGACCGGACCCTATGGGGTCCGACCACTATCCCATCTGGCTGGAGCTCTCAACCGGCGGCAAAGCAGGGCGCAGACGTTTAACTCAGGCTATCGACTGGGACGCCTTCCGAAAGGCGGTGGCCTCGTGCGAAGACGCGGTTCCCGTAACCGCAAAATTACTGAGGGCAGCGCAAGCGGCCACGCGAAACCTGGAGGTGGAAGACCAAGACCCGGTTCCCGACAAACATCTAATGAACCTGTGGGAAGCACGCAAGCGGCTCCACAAGATATATCTTAACAACGGCAAACGATTCAAGGACCTAGTGCGTTTGCGCAACAAGACGGCACAGGCACGTAGATATGCCAAACGCCTGGCTCGCTCGAGGTGGCTTGACCATTGCGCGACGTTTGACGAACGAACTGGCACCCGCAAGCTATGGCGCGCCCACAGAGCCTTGACCGGCAAGACCAAGGCGCCCAACACTGCTCGCAACATCCAGCTAGCCACCGACCAAACTCCGGAGCAGTTTGAGGAAGCGGCCGCCAAGGCCTTTTTCCCACAACCTGCTAACGATCCGGACCTGTGCCTGTACGAACTGCAACCGCCGAGCGACACAGAACAAGACGCCCCGTTCACGATTCAAGAATTGACACTGGCCTTGGACTCTGTCAACGAGCGCAGCGCCCCTGGCAAGGATGGAATCACGTGGCGCATGCTGCGCAACCTGGACGAGCCGGAGAAACGAAAGCTCCTGAAAGAACTTAACGACGTCTGGGCGTCAGGAGTACTACCGGCCGACTGGAAACATTCAGTGGTGTACCCTATTCCGAAACCAGGAAAGAGTCCGGATCAAATACAGAACCTCCGACCAATCTCACTTACGTCTACGCTATGCAAGCTACTCGAACGGATGATCCTTACGCGACTCACTTATGTCTTGGAAGAAGCCAGGGACGACCCTTACTACGACACTGCGCAGACCGGTTTTCGCCCCGGACTGTGCACCCACGACAGCCTACACCTCCTTCGAAACTTTGTGGGTAAGAGGCGCCGAGGAACCAACAAGGTACCCGGACTCCTGGTGGCAGTGGATCTCCGGAAAGCTTTTGACACCGTCGAGCATTCGGCAGTGATCGAAGAACTCGAAGAGAGTGGCGCAGGCACCCGCATAATCAATTTCGTGAAAAGCTTCCTCAAGAATCGTACCTTTGAGATCAGCTCGGGCGCCCAGCAACCCCGCATGTTCCAGAATTTCCGTGGAGTACCTCAAGGAGCCATCCTTTCGCCGACCCTTTTCAACTTGGTCATGAGAAAAATAGCAAGAGTGTTGCGCGCCGTCCCACACCTTCAGCACACAACTTATGCGGACGACATCACCCTTTGGGTGGACCCCCGAAACACAAAGCTCGACACTAAAGAAACGGTCGAAACCATGCAGACGGCCCTAGATGCCATTGACCAGTGCCTGCAAACTACGGGCATGCAACCTTCCCCAGAGAAGACAGCCTTCCTCATCGTCGGCGGTCTTGAGCACAACAGAGCTCAAATACACCTGACCCTGGCCGGCCAGTCCATTCAGCGCTCCCCCGAACGCTGGATTCGCATATTGGGAGTCCCACTGCACGAACAAGGAGGAGCGCAAGAGTGGATCAAGCAACTCAAACCCAAGTGGCGACAACAGCTCCAACTCATTAAGAGAATGGGCAACCGCCTTGGTGGCGCGGGCACGCGCACCATCCGCTTGCTCACTCAAGCAGTCCTGACCTCAAAAGCCTGCTATGGAGCCGCATGTTTCGTCCTGACCAAGGCGCAGCTCAAACAGCTGGAAATATTGCATCGTGAATGCCTGCGTGCAATCACCGGTCTCCCAAGACACACTAAGACGGAAGAGCTGTATCGGTACTCGAATCTTCCGACTCTACAAGCCATCATTGAGACCCGCGTTGCCGGCCATCGGCGGCGCCGGACATCGACTAGAGCCGGTCAACGTCTTCTGGATTTACAGGGTTGGCGGCCTCCCGTAGGAGAGGCCCCGCCTCCGAAGAGCATGCCACCATGGGAGGACATTATGGTCAGAAACCCCAAGCCGCTCACTCGCAAACAACACCGCGAAGAACATTCAGAAGAAAGAGCTGCACTTGCTGCGCGGGCAGACCTCGTGGAGCACGCGGTCTTCACAGACGCCGCATGGTGCCAAGAGACGAAGCGGGCCACACTCGCCTACGCTACTGGCCAGGACCGATATGCTCAGACACTTCAATACGACAGCGAACCTAGCACGAGCCGCCTCGAACTGGATGCAATACACCTGGCACTATCTCGAATAAGAGAGACATTCGACCTAGTGGACGTACCCACCCGTGTAACCATCTTCACGGATTGTAGGGAAGCCCTTGCCCGTCTGGGGAAAACTCCTCGCGAAGGGACGCTCTGCCAGCGAATCAAGAGTCTGTGCTCGTATTTGAAAAACACCAAAGGTATTGAGGTGAGAGTGGACTGGGTCCCGGGACACGCGGGCGGCATCGGTAACGAGGCCGCACACGCGTGGGCGAGCGAGCAAAGGGAAGACCGCTCCAACCCAGGGATCTTCGTCCCCTTCGCGCCGCCGGACCCAGACCCCATAGAGAAGAAATCTGCGGCCCGACAAGAGGATCAGCGTCGGCTGCGAGATCAAACACCCTACAACCCGGCACCGCTACCCAAGGGTTTACCCAGAGGGGCACAAGTGTTAATTCACAAGGCCCGCACCGGAGCTGCGCTCACCGAAGACATACTCGCTCGGTGGCGTAGCTACAAACCACGGAGGGGCCGCCCACCCGACCAAGTGCCACCGGAAGGGTCCGAGCCCGCTGCACTTGTCGTCTGCACTACATGCACCGCCGGCGTGAGCCCGACGATCCGACACTTACTCTGGGATTGTGCCGGCTTGCGAGACAAAAGAGCCGAACACCTGGGGCCTCACATCGACACTTTAGAGGCCTGGATCACACCGGTTAACGAGGCACGGGCCAGGGAGACGCTGATCTCCCTATGGGAGTTCGCGCGCTCGACAGGAGTGCACCGCCGAATGTAAAGTTTTCCTACCTATGTTCCCCTTCCCCCAATGAGGCCATGGCGCCACCCTTTTTGAAAATAAAGTTAATCATCATCATCATGGTAGACATTCGAAGATCAGTCAGTTTGGGATTAAGTATGTTTATCACCGGAAATAAGATTATAAAAGTAATGTCAGGTTGTCAATATTGGTGGTGATGCTTCAAGAACGCAAGGACACTAAACTTGACATTGTCGATTTGAACACGCACCATCAAATTTGTCGTTCACAACTGATAATCCTGACTCCATCATCAAAGGTATCAACTATCAAATGACGTCACTGAACGCGCCCGCACACTATATACGCGCCCTGGCACGAGTCTTTCGCTTGAAAGTCAATCATGGCCACTCTTCAGTTCATTGAACGCGAGCCGTTTTAAATCCAGAATCTCTTGAACCGTTATTTCGAAAATTGCAGGCTGTGCTGTTCCTCGTCATTGCTCATTGGAACACCTCTAAGCAGGGTCGTCGAAACAGGAGGATGGGGAGGGGGGGGGGGGGGGGAATTAGCCCCCCCTCCCCCAATGGCGTCGAAAGAGGGGGCAAGGGGCATAAGGGTGGAAGGGGGGGGGGGGGGGGGGGGCGGGGGGGGTATCGCCCCAGCCCCGAACCACCATAGCATTTCAGAGAGTTATAATAAAATATTAGGGGAAAGGAATATCCCCCTTCTTCACCACCATCACCTCCTCTCTCTCTCTCTTTCTCTCTCCCGAACCATTTCTACGGCCCTTCTTGAGACTCCTATTTGTTTGTGCGTGTGTGTGTGTGTGTTGGTCGTACCTTAATTCATTCTTTAGAGCGCAGCTCTTCGGCGCCCATTTCCGGGTTTCGGGGCATGGGCGTCGCCGTCGGCGTAACCGGCCCGCTAAATTTAGCGCGAAATTGACGTCAGATGACCTCAACACCAATTCGATTCCCAGCTACGTGACTTCAACGCCAATTCACTTCTCCGCTAGATTGTCCTGTGATGTCCTTTTCCCTGCTAAATTTAGCGGAGAAACTGAATGGGAGGAGGAGGGGAGGAAAGGAAGAGGGGAGGAGGAGGGGCATACCCTCCTCTCCGTACCCTCCCTTATTCCTCCTCAAGAGTTGAGCTCTGATTTCGCATTACAAAGATTTGTAAACGTCTTTAACGTTTTTTTATTTCCCTTCCTTCGGCTTTTTTTTTTATCCCTCGTTTCCCCTTATCTTTCAGGCATTACCGACGTCTTTACACAAACCGCCTGTGGGTGACCCCGGTGGCGTTGTTGACAGTGGCGGAAGATGAGCTCTATAAAGCCGGCCGCGTACACCGCGCACGGCTGCAGAACATCACAAAGTTCAATCTTCGCCTCGATTCCGAAGCGAAGATTTTGGCCTCAAATAACTCCTTCCCAAAGTTGTGAAACGTCACTTTGTCGTCACCAATAACTTCCACAAACGACTATCTTGCGACGAGAAAGTTCAGAGTACTTACCGGCCGCCTAGGTACAATCTAGGCATCATTGACTCTAACGTAACGTAGGGATGTAGGGACACTCGGGCGAGACGTCATCAGTGCAGCCGTTCAATCGGCTGGCACCACGGTTTTGCTCGCACGCGCTTCGATGGAGCTCGCTACAACTTTGTGTTTTACCTTCTCGCTGGAATTTGAGCACCGAGAGAGCTTGGATGATTGACACCTCGCTCGGCTTGACGTCAGCGTCGAGAGAGTCCAATTAGCGCGTTCCGCAACTTTCGGACACGAAGTTGTGCTCGACGAGTTTAGCTACCCTGGGGTCTTTAACGTGCACCACGCAGTAGTGATACGCGACCGCACGCCGGTACGATGCTCATCCAGATCGAAACGGTCAGGGGTGGGGCTCGAGCCCAGGATGCCTGGGTTCTGCAGCGCGAGCTTTCGCTCCACGTGCTCCGAGCTGGTGTGCGCTAAACCACTCGGCCACCGATCCCCCCCCCCCCCCCCCCCTTACTTCGAATATTTAACACGGATAAGGCGCACAAAGGCAGCGCGTGTACTTACGTTCAAAGCATTCTTTTTCATGCAAGGGTAATTTAGTAAAAGGTCTGTTACACTACTTTATTTTTTTAAACGCTGCAAGTGCGTGCTGTTTGCTCAGGGACGCACCTCGGCTGCACGAATTCTCTCTCTCTCAGCAGGAACAACTGTCAAATATAAAGCTATGAGCTCAGGATTCTCGCATTTAGAAAATATCACAATTTAAATACGAATATTATCTAAGACTGCTGCTGCAAATATTATGACGTAAGCAAGAACTCTCATATAAAGATTATTTTAGACATGTTACGCATGATTAAGTTTTGAGCGAATTGAACCGCAAGAACAGCAGCTTGCTTTCTCTCTTGACCTAATAAAAAATACCAACACGATGGTGGGGCGGTGCCAGTTTAATTATTGCTGTCACATCATGTGAAGGCCCAAAGTGCTATAAGCAAATTAAAGCTAAAGATGGGCAAAACTGCTAGTTCCCAAAAAGCAGAGTGCACGAAAACCAGCATCTCGACTCCCCCCCCCCCCCCCCCGCTTACGTTGCGTTGGCCCTCGACCTTCCTCGGGTGGGCTATCTGGCCCCCACACTAAAACGAATTTGAGACCGCTGATCTATAGGCTGAACTCCCTCCCCCCCCCCCCCCCCCCCCAATCCCTTACCTCCATTTTTCAGCCCGGTCCGCTCCGTCTCAGCTTTGTGGCGATTTGGCCCGCTACAGCAAAATGCTGCCCCGACCCCCGCGTAGTACATTCCTACCTAAAACGGCAGATGAAAAGTTTCCATTTCTTTCATAGGCAGAAAGAGCTCACTCTGAAAGCCTTCTAAAAGCGTAGAGGCAAATGCACCGTCCCGTTGTAGTCTGAACCATATGATCGGAGACATTGAGTCTGCTTGCTAATATCTTGCAAAGAAACTAAAAGAGCGTTAAGACCTTTCCGTGGTTTGTTCTCGGATCAAGGCCTGGGAAGTGTTAAACTTCGCCGGTTATACTTGGATGCCCTACAGCTGGTAACCCCTATTCCATTCTACCGTGCCTGTCCCAATTATTCCTCGTCAGGGGCGTAGCCAGGGCGGAAGGGGGGAGCTTATAAAATTTAAAAGACCCCACTAAAAAAAAAAAAAAAATTCACTCACCTTATATTATACAAGAGTATTTTGAACCCTCCTTCTCCCCTCCGAACCCCAAGTCTTAAACATCCCAGCCAACTCAGCCCTCCCTCCCCCCACCCCCCCCCCCCCCCCCCCCCCCGAAAATAATCTACGCCACGTAAGAACTGCTTATACGCTATACCAGGGGTGGCCAAACCGCGGCTCGCGAGCCGCATGCGGCTCTTTGCTGGTTCAAGTGCGGCTCGCGGATCCCTCGTAAGGGACCCCCCCCTTCGCCCCTTTCCGCGTTTCCGCAGGAAAAAAACAAACAAAGGATTTCAGGATAAACCACACTGCAGCTTGCAGTTTGGCAGCCTTGTACTCCCATACGTACAGTCGCACAGCCTTGTGCCCCCAATCGTACAGTCAGACTCTGAACAAAAGTTAAGTTTGCCCCCCCCCCTCCCCCCCGCCCCCCCGCGGCTCTTAGAAGCTCCGTGATTTTGTTTGCAGGCCAGGCCAGCCTGGCCACTCCTGCGCTATACAGTTAAAACTGCAACAAAAATATTTTTTTCTAGCAACAAATCGACTCGTCCAGAAAGCCTGCAAATGCCTTCTGGACAATTTACGAGAAACGGTTTTTCTAATTTGAATAAAAACTTGCAAGAATGATAAACACGTTTCCCAAACAAGATAATTTTTGTTTTTTATTTACTGCGGAGTTACAAAACTTTGAATTTTGGAAACTTTGTAGTATGTTTAATGTTTGTATTTTTTTATTACAAATTAAAGATACTTTGTAGACATCAAAAAATGTTTTACTCATGTTACCGTATATCTTTGCACAAAATGTATTAAGTCAACAGCAAACAACGGTTTGTGTTTTATAACTATTATAAATGCCCATTTCGCTCAAATCGTGAAACGCGCACTTGACCGCACTTGACCGACGCTCTACATATTATTCCGGAATGATGAAAAAAAACAATTGCACAACTCTTCTGGCATATCTCACGTGAAGTTGAATATAGGCTATTCATAGACTGTTAACATGTGTCCTTTGACAATCAAACGTGTTCAAATTAAGTTTTCACTCAAAACGCATAATTAAATGAAACAATTATACCTCTTCGGTTAGCAACCAACCATAACAGAAATAGTCGACGGCTTCCACGTTCAGCACGCGTCTTAAATTCTGGCTTATGTTTGCTGTCAATCCGGCACAGTCGTGTCGCAAGCAATTCAATACGAGGTTTTCACGCGAATGGGAATGGAAAGAAATTAAAAACAGTGCAGTGTCCCAGCCTCTTATATTGTTTTTCTCTACAGCTCGAAGTTCTCGCCTTTTCTGCCGCATCTTGAATAACGATCTTAAAAAAAAAAAAAAACGCCCATTTAGAAGAACTATTTCTGGCTCTGAGAGGATCCGAGGACACCACGGTGCACGTTTCGCTTTGAGGCGCTGTCTATATTGCGACTCCTCCGTCTTCCAAAAAAGAACTGCTTCCAATACTCAGTTGAATGCACGAGCTTGTCACACCACTTCCTTTTGATGCTTTACGTAGTCCGTACGTTACAGACACCTAGGAAGCCCACCTCTGATGATAGAAAACAAAATGCTCTGCAACTCAGCGCAGAAAGAACGTGCTTATATGTTTCCCCCAGATAATTATTCCAGTTAGCACAGTTCATCGCCTAGTCCTTCTTCACACATATACTTCGTGAGTCGGCGGGGTGTCTGTGTCAGCTTCGTTGTTTCCTATTGAAGCAACGATTTTAGTCAACTCTCGTTCAAGTTCCACGTACGGCTTGATTGTGAGATCTTCTTCGGGGAGCCCTTGTCCACTGCCATGAAACACGCTCTTCATTTGCAACAAAGCGTTGTGTAACCCAACGTAGCTGAGAGGCGCCGTCCTCATTCGGAAAAAGTAGTCTTTCTGAACCGATGCAGCTTCCATCCGAACTGCACTCACGGCGCCTTTCCACAGCAAGCCCAGTATCTTCCGAAACGCGACTGCTTCCAGATACTCGTAAAGCGTCGAGATGCAGGTGTTCACGTACTGCACCAGCGAATAGAGCTGCCTCTCCTGGAGGAATGTCGAGGGCGCGTTCACAACTTCGGACAGCCTCGCGCAAAGTTCAGGTTTCAATTTATCCACAGCCTTGGAACACACGCGGGTGACGATAGTGAGCGTTTTGTTGACAGCCAGATCCAAGCAGAAAACAATCTGACTCACTTTGGGTGCGAGATTCGAGTCGCTCGACAGAGAAACTTCCAGCTGGGAGATGGTGTCCTGCAAAAAAGACGACATGAAGGACAGACTGCTGATAGCAACGCACAGCTGTCTCGAAATCTCGAATTCCCCGACTGCGTCAAAACATTCCTCGGCTGTGATTCGATCGGCCAGGCACTTTGAAAAATTCAGACCGCCTTCGCTTACGGATGTCGCAAAAGCGAGAGCACAACGGAAGTCACGAAACTGGAGCTTTTGCCACAACTGAACGTAGCGACCATGGAAAATGTCCAGTGTGTCACGGACCGCGGTTCCGTATTTAATGTCGGCAGTAAGAGGTGACATGTCGTCTTTTCTGACCAAATCCAAGATCCATCCGGACACAGGAGCTTTGGCAAAATCAAACCATAGCATCACCATGTCTGAGCCAAACCACTCTTGAACCTTATCCAGTTCAAGTGTATTTCTTTCAGAGGGTAGTGCTTTTCTCAACGTGACTTGAAAGCCGTGGAGACAGTAATATGCTCTAAGACTCAATTCAACTTTCTCAAAATTGCCGATGTCAGCCCCTTTTTTTTTCTCGTCTAGATCGGAGCACAGTTTTTTCAGGCCTGGCTTAAAAGTACTTGAGAGGAACTTGTCAAGTTCTTTGCCCACAATCTGACTGTACGTTTCGTTCCACGCAGTCTGAAATATCTTATCCGCTTCTTGGTGGTACATCTGAATGGTTGAAATAACGTTGTCAAGACACTGACAAAGCAAGGCTGGATCTTCCGCCCTCAGGTCTTCTACGTTTACAAGGCTCCTGTACCAGACAGCCGCTTCTTTCATTATATCTGTGCTCGCAGGATCCGTCACTTCAATAGTACCCAAAGCTTCGATGGTGACGCAGCAAAAGAGCAGCCCTAATAAGTCAATGCGCTGGTATTTCTTCTCAAACCTAAACCGCTCGTGCAGTTTGCTGAAGTGTGCCAGACACGTTGTGGACAGGGTTCCAAGAACGTTCTCCAGAGCGTTCTTAATAAGCTGATTGTGTGCCTCACGAACTAAATATCTCATCCGGGCCAGCAACCGGTAAAGAACCGAAAAATTCACTCGTACTTTGCCCGACCTTGACACGTCTGCGAGCGCCGTGATGCGACAGAAACACTGTTCGACTTCTTCTAAGCTCTTGGACAGTGCATGCCTGAAAAGCAACGTTAAGCCTTCTTCGGAAAGACACTCGTCCCACTGACACCTCCTAAGAACGACATCAGGGTGAACAGCCGTACTATGATGAAGCAGAAAGACAAGACTAAGGTAGTAGTGGTGCTTCAAAACCGTCCACGCGTCCGGGTGTTTGGACGACGGGCATTTGAACCCTAGCTTTACATAGACTTTTCCGTACGTTCCCTGACCACGCCTGTCTTTCAGCGTGAGCCACGTCTCGTTACCTGTGCAAGGAATTTCGTTGACGAATCTGACTACGCCTCCAATAAAATCGTCCGCCTCGCTCTGGAAGAGCAGTTCAAAGAACTCCCGGAGGAAGACTAAACAGGAGGCGCACGAACGCACGTCATAGAGCTCTCGACAGACACCGCACACGGTTCGTGGGTCCTTGTCCCAAACTTCGAGGGTAAAAGCATCATTCGCGGGGTCCTCGATTCGAATCTGAAACGCTTCATTCCAACTCGGATTGATGGTTTTCTGCTTCACGCTGCTGCGCTCCACCTGCGAAGAGCCAACGCGAAGGACGCAATAAGGATCGGACATGCCGCTTACGTCTTTGGCGACGAGATTCTGTGCTTGAACGACTGTGACGTGTAAGTCGACTTGGACTTCCGGTGATCTCCTAGCGGCATCGAAGAGTTTTTCCTCGCTCGTGTTTTGGAATACCTCGTCGAATGTCGCCCTCACGTAGTCACTCAGCTCTTGCTTGATGGCTCCATAAGGCTTGGTCGGTTTACCGATGTCTCGCTCGGAGAGCGAGAGACACTCGATGCACAGGTTGAAGAATTCTTGAGCGGAGATAGCGTCGAAGACACGTTCGAGCTCCACGTCCAAAGTTTCGTCCATTGTGAACCTCAAAGGCTGGTTTTCTGCCACGCTGTATTCCTCATAAAATGTGACGTCATGACGTGCATGCCACGAGCGGCATTGAGCAGTGTCCTCTCGAGCTGTAGAATCGAACAAGAACAGCAGGAACATGGACTCTAATATTCATGGCGCGCAAAGCTCTCCTCCGGCCACTCCATTCGTCTGGAAAAAGTGAGACACCGAGAAAAAATAGCTCGAGTCTTTCCGCCTCGCGGTGGCGCTAGGTTTAGGGCTGAAAATCATCAACATCGAGATTGATGATGATAAGCTATAGACGCTTTCAGCGCGCGCCAAATTCAGCCGCCATAGCCGACCTTCTCTTGTCTTACCGAGATGTCGAGCAACTGAAGCGGGCGTTGACGAGTCTCCACAAAGGCCTATGCTGGGGAGAAGGACACGGTAGAATCTGAAATGGCAATTACCTGTCCTGCTGTGGTAATGATGAAGTGGATCGAACGGAATAAGAGGAAACAAAAACTGAAGGTCGGTTATGGCGGCGCCCATGCACAGCTGCCTGAAAGCGTCTATAAGAGCTCTGACAGAACACACAAGTGCCGAAAACTAAACAGATTTCGAGAACACCTTAGTAAAGGCCAACGTTAGTAGAGGAGGTCAGTTTGGGAACTCCAGTAAAGCGCTGGATATGCTCACTTATCCAAGTACCGCCATCGTTTGATCGTACCACGGGCGCTCCTATTGAATGCCGGCGACGAGTCACCACTTTGGCCTCATGGGGCATTCCACACTGTCTTAAGCGTGTTTCACATGCAGCGATTTTGGTCCTAAAGCGTGTTTCACATGCAGCAATTTTGGCCCTAAAGCGGCGCGATTTCTGCCGTCGCGGCGCTCGTGCCTCTTAATCGCTGGATCTGGCCAGAGCGCCGCTACGGCAGAAATCGCGCCGCTCTAGGGCCAAAACCGCTGCATGTGAACTAGGCTTTAGACGTGCACGCTCCTATTAGTCTGCTATGGCTGCCGGTGTCGCGCCGCCCAGCATGCACCAGCTTGGCGGTACTCGAGCGGCCTTCAACAAAGGAGCTCGGGCCGCTGCGGTAACGGATGAAATAGTGGCACTGTCGTCACCGCAAGACAGAGCCGTTTATGGTGAAAGATTCTGGTTTCCTTAAGGAGATTTTGACAGCCTGGCAACCACATCAGCGTAGACTGACAACCAAAGGATGACTACTTCAGTCCGCCATTTTTGGGGTTCTGACTCATAGGAACTCTATGCGATTTCTCAGGAATATAGAAGACAAAGAAGTAACGCCATTTTGTGTTATCGGGGGAGCGCGCGCTTGACCGCCGACTAGGAAGGACGCGTCCTTTCGAAGCTCCGCAACCCAACCCAGCGCGCCCAAGTCGATCATGGTCGACAAATTTGCAGCCACATTTGCTGCAGTTCTACGCCAGTCCTTGGCCCAGCCACCGGCTCAACCAGGACTTGCGACACCCATCAGCTCGGCCTCTTCGCCATGGTTCCGGCCGGCTCCAACACCGGCCGTATCCACCGCCATGACAGCATCCCAGCGCCAGCCCGCCCAGGCCCTGCCGCAAGGTATGCTCAACTTCTGTAAATCGATGGTAGGCCGCTACCTCGAACAAGTATCCGAAGCAGACATGCACGCCTGCCTCCAAACGGCGATTTCTGAGGTCCGCTTGAAACGCAACTCGAAACTCGGCCTGACTAAGGATCCATCACACCAAGCCTCGTCTACTCCCAGGCCTAACACGGGGCAAACCACTACCATCCCGTCACGAAAACCACCGAAGAAAAAACTCGACAACGCCGACGTCGCGATTGAACACCACGCGCCCGGCGACCAAGACATGGAAGCGGCGTCGTCAGAAATGACTCCGTCGGCGACAACAGCTGCCCAAAATCCTTCCTCAAGTGGGCTCTCCTCTTGCTCTGATGGCGCTGCCGCGGCCTCAACGTCGCTGTTCACCTTCACAGCTAACAAAGAAGAAAACAGCGACAACGATCACAACTCGCCCCACCCATGGGTGACAAAGCTTTCAAAAAAAGCGGCCAAGAGAGCACGCCTTAGCGCAAAATCCAACACGCGCACCGTGGACTCCCCGCCTAAACCCAAAACGCAAGAGCGCCACATAATCACATTGCGCCCAAAGACCAAGACAGACGTCACAACTCTCCCAAAAAAAGGGCTAATGGAGGCCATCACCGCCTCCGTCCAGCTCGCACCGGGTGCGGTCTCCATTAAAACCACCAAGGAAACCAACACAATAACCGTCATGGTAAACTCCGAGGCCACCGCCCAAACCCTTCTTGGCATTACCGAAATCCATATTGCTGGGAAACCCCCTCTACCCATCCAGGCGTACAAGCCAGTCGGCGACAACCAAATCCGCGGTGTCATCTATGGCATCGACCAGGGAGAAGACAATGTTTCACTGATGGCATGCCTGGAGACTGAGGGGTCAGTGATTGTGGCAGCTCGGCCGATGAGCCGAGGAGGCAATACTGCACTCATCACCTTCCAGGGAACCCATCTACCCAGACACGTCTGGTACAGGCGCAGCGTCCTGCAGGTGTACCCGTACAGGGCACGAGCTGTGACCTGCAGCAACTGCCATAAGATCGGCCACAAGCCGGACATCTGTCCAGAACCCCAGGTCTGCTCCACGTGCGGAAAGCCCCACGAAGAGGCAATGGACGACCAAGGAAGCGTGACCTGCCCTTCCCCCATCCCTTTCTGCCAAATGTGCCGAAAGAATGGACACCTGGCTACAGACAAATACTGCCCAAGGAGACTTGATATTGTCCGCAAAATTCGAGAGGCGGCGCGACGGCGCACCACTCCTCCGGGGTCTCAAGACAACTCAAAGCGCATCCGACAAGACTACCGCAAGAAGCGGGGAAACGGTCAACAGCCTGCGCCCCAGCTAACTGCTCCTACAACGATTACCATCGACCCTGCCATGCTGCTCCAGCTCTTCACGGCCATCGCCGCCCAGACCGGCACTGCCGTGCAAAGCAACCTTAACCCTCCAGCATGGCAGTAAACGTTACCCAGTGGAACTGCCGAGGTTTGCGGTTACGTGCCGCAGAACTCAAAACCACGCATCACAACAAACCACAGGAACGCCCAGACGCCTACCTACTGCAAGAAGTCTACTGTACCACCGTCAAGCTGACCGGCTATAAGTCCTACGCAAATCCCTCGATACCGTCCGTTAGGGCGGGCCAGTTCGGAGGCCGGGAAGGACGAGCCATGGTCTACATCAAGAAACACTGGCCGCAGCACAAGATCGACCTTCAACAATGGTGCACGGAACATCAGGAAGTGGTAGCCGTCCGAACCACCCAGCAAGACATTCCTGTCATTCTGGTGTCCGTGTATTACCGACCTGGGGCTTCCGTCAGGGAACCCAGGGACCACGGATGGATTGCTCACCTTGACGGCCTTTACCCAAAAGAGCAGAAGATAGTCGGGGGAGACTTCAACCTCCAACACACAGCGTGGGGCTACGCCAAGGACACCTCGGCAGGCCAAAATCTTTTGGATGAAATGACCCACCACCGCTACACCCTAATGAACACCGCAGGGATGAAGACACGGCTGAGCTGCAACGCTCGGCAGAATCACACCACCCCAGATACCACCTGGACAAACAGCCCACACACGGCCAACCACACTTGGAAGCCGGAGGCCGACACTCGCGGGAGCGATCATCTGCCCATCAGGATAGTCCTGGCCCTCAACGGATCGGCGGCCTCCAAGCCCGGGAAACGGCTCGTACATGTCGTGAACTGGGACCTGTACCGGAGCAAACTCCAAAGCAGCACAGCACCAACGGTCTTCGAGTCCATCAAGGAGGCCCTCCTGGCCGCGACCACGAAGAAACAAATAAAGCTCGACACTCCCATCCCGGACCTTCACCTGTTGAATCTCTGGGCTCGGCGGCTGAGGGCTCTACAACGCTACAGAAGAGGCCCGAAAAAACGCGAGAGCCTTGAGGGAGGTGACAAGAGCCACGGTAGCTGCCCGCAAATATGCGGTTCAGCTCGATCGGCAAAAGTGGCTGGAGTTCAGTGCCTCGCTCTCGGAAAAAACATCTGCTCAAAAACTATGGGCAGTCAGCAGAGCCATGCTGGGCAAAACAAGGGATCGCGCAGCGACCCTCACGCTCGCACTCACGACAAAGAAGACAGTTGAAACGCTGGCGCTAGAGGCTGGAGACACGCTCTTCCCCCAGCCAGCGGCGACCAGCACCCCACCAGCTGTGGGGGACCCATACGAAAGGGTCAAGATCAACGAGAAGGACCCCATGAACCAACCTTTCACCACAGGAGAAATGGAGGACGCTCTGCACCACGGGAAACCAAACGGCGCTCCAGGTCCGGACGGAATAACCACCGCCATGCTCCGAAACCTTCCCGAAGCCACAAAAACTCGGCTTCTTGAAGACATTAACGAAGTGTGGCGCAGTAGCAACACTCCAGACCAGTGGAAACTCTCCACTGTTATTCCAATTCCTAAGCCCGGCAAGAAGCCGACCACCTTAGCCAACTTCCGTCCAATCTCTCTCACCTCCTGCGTCTGCAAGCTGGTGGAGAGAATGCTACTCGGCCGCCTCTCCTGGTATCTGGAGCGGACGAAAGCCTTTCATCCGACGCAGACAGGGTTCAGAACTGGCCTGGGCACGCAGGAAAGCCTTATCCTACTCTCCAAAGATCTTATTCCAAAGCCCATTCCACAGAAATTTAAAATCAGAACAGTCGTCGCGATCGATGTCAAAAAAGCCTTCGACAGCGTCCCACACTGGGCAATTGTCCAAGAAGCGCGCGCCCTCGGCATTGAAGGCCGCGCCCTAAATTTCATCAAGTCTTTCCTCGAGACTCGCACCTTCGCGGTCCGGATCGGCAAACACCTGGCAGCGCCAAAACCGAACAAAGTGGGAGTTCCACAAGGGTCAGTTCTGTCCCCACTCCTCTTCAACTTGGCCATGGCGCGTCT